CATTGCTTCGTTTAGTTTCCACTCGAAGATGATAGGGATCTCAGGCGAGATCCAAATTCGTCGGTACGTTCCGACGTGATGTCTCCGTTCCCTCCTTCAGAGAACGGGGGTTACATACGTAACCGTGACGCTTTCACCTCTGATATTATAACAGTGATTAAGAAATAAAGTTACGCATTGACTCGAGGTATGTGGACGTCTTTTAGTTGGGTGCTATTGCCATGGTGAATCAATATTTCGGAGATCCATTGATCATAACTTCTCATAGTCATGGTGCACGCGCTAAACTCAGAGTCAACCTACTCAGAGTGGATTGAACAAACTAAATTCAGCTGTTCTGAAAACTCAGGGTTTCCCATCTCAGGGTAAGTCAACTCCGAGTTCAAGTTTTAATTCAGAGTTGGTTAAACCTCCTTATTGAAACAGCCCCCTGATGGAGATCAAGAATAACAAAGAAGTTGCGAGTGCTCTGCCACTGTTGTGACATACTGTCAAGTGTGGTAACCCATACTCAGAATTTGTGCTCTGCATTTAACCCATCCAAGTGCACACACACAGCAGTGAGTAGTGAACACACACCTGAAACGGTGGGCATTTGCTTCAGCACCCAGGGAGCAACTGTGGGGTTGGTGCTTTGCTCAAGGGCACCTCGGTCATGGTTACTGAAGGTGGAAGAGGGCGCTGTACATTCACCTCACCTACAATATCTGCAGGTACTCAGACTCAAACCCACGACCTTCGAATTACTCTCTAACCATTAGGCCACAGCTGCCCCTACTTCTAGTGGAGAAACAAAGCAGCAGTTGTGGCCTAATGGTTAGAGATTTATCTGATATTAGAAACAGTCAAAAGTTCATCGGTGAACAAAACCTTCGCTATTATTACCAATCAGATCTTGAAGTACCTGTTGATAAAATGATACATTCTTTGAACATACCCTAAATCAGTGGTTCTCAAACTTTTTATACTAAGTACCACCTCAGAAAATATTTGGCTCTCCAAGTACCACCATAATGGTAGAGTAGTAGGTCTAGTTGTTCAGCTACAGCTCTGCACAATTAAAAAACGAGGCAGTTTTATTCCTAATTGTCACGGTGTGCCTACGGTCAGGAGCGGGGAACAAGGAACGAGGAGTGAGGGACGAGGAGAATGCAGGAGAATCATAATCAACAGTCAATGACATCTAGGGAAACACACGTAGGACACGGGATCGATGTTCAAGACATCACAGAGAACTCAAAACAGGAAAACACTTTAAATACACAGGGCTTAAATCATGGGACTAATCAAGGAAACTAATGAGGAAACACCTGGAATCAATAAACATAATTGAACATGAGGGAAAACTGGATCATGGAAAGCACGTAGGGGAAGAAAACACAAAACACGGAACACAGGACTGACATTACTCCCCCCTCCCGGAAGGCACGTCCACGTGCCCCACAATATCCAACAGGGAGGGAGGGGGGGGGGCACTCTGGAGGCCCCTCAGGACAGACACGGGACGACAGGCCTCCAGAGGGGTACCCGTTCAGGGACCCATGGCGGATCAGGCAGTTCGGGGCGCAATGGCGGAGCAGGCAGACTGGGAAGCCATGGCGGAGCAGACAGTTCAGGAGGCTATGGCGGAACAAGGAGCTCGGGGAGCCTGGCCTCGGCACTCAGCCCGGCCTCCACGGATGGACCCCTACTACCCCCCCAAAAAAAATCCTTGGGGATTAATGTTGGTTTCAGAGGCCCTCCGTAGGCTTAACTCGGACACTGTGGCCCTCCCTGGGCTTGACTTGAGGACTGGAGCCCTCCTTGGGCTGGAC